TGATACTGCCAGACACACCTCACACAAATACTTTACAAAATCTAGAGATTTATTTTGCATTAATAAGCTCCACTTTTTTGGGTGCAAATAATGTGTAGCAATACTTGGGAAGAGTTGCTGAATGGCCAGAGAATTGACCAATTATCCAACAACTATTTACTTTACTATTTCTGACCCTGGGGGAGTTGGTAGTGTGTAGACTTGTTTTGGAGCCCTGGTGATGCAGTGGTACCTATTGCCAAATGAGGTAACAACCTGAAGTTCTGGGTGGACATAAATTTGTAGGGGGAGGGTGTGAAGGGGGGCACTGTTCAACCCACTACAGGCAGCATTGCCTCTGAATTAATACAGGGCTTCCAACAGAAGCCTTGGAGACCAAGGAGGGCACAAGAATACAAGTCCCCAAGGAATTCACAAAAATATTGGGGAGGGCTTTGAATTTCTACCAGAGTTCGATAGGAATTGAAGGAGTAAGCAAAATTTATCTGTATCATTGAGGAGCAAACATCAGAGTTACATAGAAGTAGTCTTCCCAACTTCCTTTTCACTGAAACAAGAGATTCATTAGATTCAACAAAAAGGATAACTTAAAGTGCGTATATCAGAGGTTGGGGGAGACACAATGTGATAAGTGCTAAAACAAGTCGAACCCATTGCCGTCAAGTCGATAATATATGCTGAATTTAGGGTGGGCCCCAAATTTAGTAACTGGTGTCTTTAGAAGAGAAAGGAGAAGAAGACTTGGACACAGACACAGAGAAGAAGGCCATGTGAAGACAACGGATTTAGATTGGAATGATGCAGCTGTAAGCCAAGGAACACCAAGGATTGCCGGGAGTATCCAGAAGCGAGGATGAGACAAGGAAGGATTCTTCCCTAGTACCTTCGAGCGAGCAGGGCCCTGCCAACAGCTTGAGTTCGGACTTCTAGCCTCCAGAACTGTGAGAGAACAAATTTCTGTGTTTTAAGCTTCCTAGTTTGTGGTAATTGGTTACAGCAGCTATAGGAAACTAATGCACTGCCCTTGCTTCAAGTTCCACAAAATACCCACTAAGGCAAATATTGTGAATTTCAGATATTTTACTGAATTTGGGAGTGGGGGTGTAGGGGGGTGAAATCAAGGAAGGCTTAAGTCAGATCACATAGAAACCAACTTAGAATTTTATGTTAGACATCCTGCTGTATAAGAAAGACCCTTCTGAGGCTCTTCCCACATCCATACCCCTCCTACCTCCAGGACGTTCTCTTGACCCTTAATCCCCTTACAGGATCCAGGTACACATCCTTTGAGTTGCACTCCTCTTCCCTTCTCTGTTATAGGAAGAGAAGAAACCAAATTCCCATTTTTCATGGAAAGCAGTTCTTTTTTTCCCTCTGATGTTTTGACATTTGTCAAAATTCATGCCC